TGTCACTTGAAATACCATGTGGGCTATTTACATCTCTTAGTCTTCAATTTTCTATCAAAGAAACACTATGCAGTGATAAGTATGAACAACATTCACAAAAATGCTACTTCTTCCTACACCTATATTGATTTTTTAAGAGTTAGAATATAATTATCTGATATGTTGGTATTCACGTATTTTTCTGTTGTATATCGTATTGGAATTATTCAAAATTTACCACATTGTGCAATGAGTTAGTTCAGATTTTAAAGGGAATTTAAAATGACGAGTTTAAATACGTTTAAAAGGATTGCATTTTATATTTTAACTGGATAGAGGTTATTTACTTCAGTTGTGAGTATATAATTATAATTACGTTTTAACTAAGCATAAAAATATCCTTGGTATACCAGTGTATTGGAATTCCTAAGGGATTGTTTGCAAGTCATTAAATGCCATTGCATTTCATTAGAATAATTATGGACTTTTCTTGTGTCAGTAATATCAACGGGGTGGGGACCACTTTGTCCTAAACTGGGTGCATGTCAGCAATAACGGGACACGAATACCTCATCATGCAAGATTTAACAGAACAAAGCGTGATGCCATATTCAACTAAATGCATGTTTACATAGTAGCTATCATACGCCAACTAAGTGCAAACTACTTGAATACATGCATTTGGACTGCACCTTAAAAATAATTTTGGAATGAATCTGCCTTTGAAGATGTAATTGTTAACTATTAATGAAATATTGGTTAAAGGAATTGGGCGTGGGTTGGGAGCAAAACGAGAGACAAGAACATTGCATTGCAGATCCTCCTGGAAATCTTGAGACCCAGCGATGCTTTCATGAGAAAATACAAAAACAGTAATACCCCGATTTCCGTCTTCCACCTTTTACGTCGTTTTGCAAATACGTCGTCACTTTATTAATACCATGACCTGATTTGCATCACCTGAACCCCATACTTGCATCGCTGGCAGCATAATCCGTCCTTTCTCGTACCCATCGCCCCAGCCTTTGCCCCAACCTACCCCGTGCACTAATGTGCATCGTTTATAAATACACGTACTGCGTCCTACAATGTACTATTTACAGTATTTTGTTTATTTCGAAAAATTGCTTTGCTTTACGTTGTTTTGATATTTGTCCCACCTTTCAGGAACGCGTCCCCGACGCAAACCGGGGTATTACTGTAACTTGCCAGGTGGTAATGGGGCTTAGTGCAATTTCATCACAATTGGAAGGCTCGCTTTTCACATCTCGGACATCGACAGCCCATCCTCCCAGTGTCAATAAAATAAGTACTGCTTTGGATCAGTGGCTGTCCCGTCTTGTGATTGACCTCGCACAAAAGGAATGTAGAATTTCCACCACTGGCTGAGGACCACAAACGTGAGCCACCACACCTTGCTTATTTAAGCAGAAACACATGACATGTATTCATGGTAATTGTTGACAATACAAGTTAACAGTTATTGGGCAGTAGCTGCATATGCAAAACTTCATGACAAAGCATGCATGATGGCTTGTCTCACTGGTATAAAGTGTCGTCACAATGCTTGTGGTAATTATGTGCTAATGTAAAATTGGTAAAAGGTTAATAAATAAATATGTTAAAATATTTTTGGTCTACAAACATTTCTCAGCAAGCGACATTGTTATTCTTCAATAAGTATGCAAATGTAGATGGATAGTGTGTTTCCTTTGAGCCATGTACTGTATTCCCAACGATGATGACAAAAGTACATTCATTATCAATAATCCAGCCAGGGTAGTTATTCCACAGCGGAAATTTGAAGATATTTTCAAAACAATGGATTGAAATATTAACCATGATAAATGCATTTAACCACCGATATAAATTGACTTCACAAAGTGATGAAATACAAAAAGCAGCAATGTGAGGATGAAATATTAACAAAACGATATTTTTACTGTCACATTCAAGCATAGCAAATGAACCACTCCCATCATCCCTGCTCCTTCACACGTAGAACAAGCTAAAGTATGTTGAACTTCTTTCGCACCGTACGAAGTCAATCGTGTTAATCGGAGGTACGGGGAAAGGACAACAAACTATATACAAAAAACAGTTCTCTTTAATTATCCATAAACCTTTAAGGGCAGACATTAAACTTTTGTTAAATTTTTATTTTACAAGGTAAGACCCACTAAGCTATGTGGCTCTTTTTTGGAGACGCAACCTGGCCACAAATGATAGCTCAACGAAGTGGCTTATGTATACATTTAAAGCAGCCAAATAATCTAAACGCATGTTTCGAAGTGTGGAGGGGAAAACCGGAGGACCCGGAGAAAAATCCACGGGGAGAGAGACATCCTCCTGCATACCAGGCAACGGTGTTAACATCTACAATGAGGTGGCCTCAATAACTCGGCCCTGAAGCAGACCTGTCAACCCATACGGTTTACCCGTACTCTTGTACGGGGAAATTTGAGTTTTCAGATCCATACGGCGTACAGCCGTTTCAATACGGGCAAAACATTTTTTGTCTGTGCTTCTCCCTTGTGATGGGACTTTGTAGGATGAACGTTGAGATTTATAAGGGGCAATTTTAACAATAACGTCTGAATTGGTCTGTAATAAGGTAGCACTGTAAAGGGGATTCCAGGTATGCTGAAGGGAAAACCCTTTCTTTTTACTGAGATTTAGTTATTTGCTTGTGCACCACTGCCAATGCAGTTTGACTGAGGATGAGTGATTCTATACGTGTTTTATATTTTCTTGAGATGCTGACAGCCTGTCAGATGTACTCAAATGGGAGATAGTTTGGACAGACAGCAACATAACACTATCCAGACCATAAATGATAAATAACACTGTACTGCATTGTAAAAAGAAAGGTACGTATTTACAAAAAACAAATATCCTGATATGTGCTTCATGGCATTGTGGCCAAATCTTGATTTGAAGCTTTCCTGACTGCAGGAATCCATATTCTTTGGTTCTTTCGGTAAAGTATCGTAGGTATAAAATAAAATAAATCACGACGTTTCGGGCGCAACACAAGCGTCCGTCATCAGGTGGGAAAGCATGGTCTGCTGCTGAGGCAGACTGGTTTAAAAGGTTTGAAATGGGTGTAGCCTAAGGGTTAGTGACGTTAATGTGAGAAACTAGCATGTAAATGTAGAAAAGAAGCAAAGCGGCCTCCTAGACGAGGGCACGGAAGTGGCTACGTGAATGTAAGAGATTAGCATGATGTCAATGTGAGAAATTAGAGGGCTCGGAAGTGGCTACGTGAATGTAAGAGATTAGCATGATGTCAATGTGAGAAATTAGAGGGCACGGAAGTGGCTATGTGAATGTAAGAGATTAGCATGATGTCAATGTGAGAAATTAGAGGGCACGGAAGTGGCTATGCGAATGTGAGAGATTAACATGATGTTAATGTGAGAAATTAGCATGATGTCAATGTGAGAAATTAGAGGGCACGGAAGTGGCTATGCGAATGTGAGAGATTAACATGATGTTAATGTGAGAAATTAGCATGATGTCAATGTGAGAAATTAGAGGGCACGGAAGTGGCTATGCGAATGTGAGAGATTAACATGATGTTAATGTGAGAAATTAGCATGATGTCAATGTGAGAAATTAGAGGGCACGGAAGTGGCTATGCGAATGTGAGAGATTAACATGATGTTAATGTGAGAAATTAGCATGATGTCAATGTGAGAAATTAGAGGGCACGGAAGTGGCTACGTGAATGTAAGAGATTAGCATGATGTCAATGTGAGAAATTAGAGGGCACGGAAGTGGCTATGTGAATGTAAGAGATTAGCATGATGTTAATGTGAGAAATTAGAGGGCACGGAAGTGGCTATGCGAATGTGAGATTAGCATGATGTCAATGTGAGAAATTAGAGGGCACGGAAGTGGCTATGTGAATGTAAGAGATTAGCATGATGTCAATGTGAGAAATTAGAGGGCACGGAAGTGGCTATGCGAATGTGAGATTAGCATGATGTTAATGTAAGAGATTAGAGGGCATGGAAGTGGCTATGCGAATGTGAGAAATTAGAGGGCACGGAAGTGGCTATGCGAATGTGAGAGATTAGCATGATGTTAATGTGAGAAATTAGTATGATGTTAATGTGAGAAATTAGCATGATGTTAATGTGAGAAATTAGCACGTAACTGAAGAAAAGAGGGAGAGCGATCTCCTCGACGAGGGACTGCAACCCAACGGGTGTAATCCAAAACAGTCTGCCTCAGCAGCAGGCCATCGCTTTCCCACCTGATGACGAACGCTTGTGTTGCGCCCGAAACGTCGTGATTTATTTTAACTTATACCTACGTGACTTTACCGAAAGAACCAAAGAATATTGTGGCCAAACTTTAACAACCATAAATTTGACTGACTGCCGTAAAACCCGCCATTGTTAGTTATTCTTCAAGTGTAGGCTGGGGAATGTATGGATGAGGGATGGTCAAAATGATTCACAGATTTAAAAAGAGCACCAACCCATGAGTCCTGTTTAATCGCTGTATTTTTATATGCATATAGACATCGAAGGCATAGCTTGGGAAACAATTTAATGCATGCATGCAAGTTTTACTTATTTCACGCCATATGTAGCCGACGGTGCTAATCGAATGTGAGAATAGTGTTAATATACTGATAACACTGGGTTCCATTGGATAAGGATGTCTATGTTCTGTACTACAATTTGTCATCTTCCATGCTGACCTGATGTCTTGAAAGAGGTGCGATTACCCACAGTTAATGATGACCTTAGCCCAGGTGTGCCCTTCGCAAAGCTGTTCACCATCAACGGGACCACGAGGGTCATCTCCACGGCTATTGGTCTGTTTGACCGAGAGGTCCGCCTTCAATTCACTGGCACACTTGTTGTACACATTGTATTCATTTCCATGAATGACTTTGATGCCTCATTACAAAGGTAAAGGTGCAGCCCTTTAATTGCTTTGCTGAAGCCGCTGCTGGTGGAATTTAAAGAATCCCGTCAGAGAGAATTTGGCCTGATAGAGGTGGGATAACCCACACTTTATCCCACCACATGTAACCTGTCACTCGACTAATCGTGGTGTATCTATTTATACTGCTGGGTGGACAGAGGCAGGGGGAATTTAAGAAATATGCTCGTCGCTTAAACTGCCATGCCTAGAGATATAGCTCGGGGGTAACTTTAAATGACCATGCACACTTTGAACATGACAGAATCTGGTGATTTAACTGTTTTCAACCGCCCTCCTTCGAAGCGTTTTGACCACCACTCATTGACTATTCAAAGGCCAGACCCCGTGACGTGCAACGGAGGAGGAGGAATTTAGCACGTTGAATTGTTTTTTTACTGTAAGCATTGTGAACTTGAAATATTACACCCACAACTTGCAGGTTTGGGCAAGCCTCCTTTCCCGGACCCCCCCCCCTCCACTGTGACAGAACAGCTCCCACACACCCAGAACAGCCGAATGACGAGGGAGGCTGATGCATCCCTGACCAACAACAACAGCATCAAGTCATGCGCCGGTGTTTCCTACAACGAGTCGTTCTGCTTCACTTACAGGTAGGTTTGCGCCCACATGTTTGTCTGAATTCTTTCATAAACGGTCATGGGTTTTTCTTTTTTAATCCGGGCGGTGCTGTGGCTAGACCAACCGCATGACTCACAACCAGAGGGTTCGTTCGTTTCTTAGTTCGCTTGTCCTGGTGAAGGTCGCGGCGGCAGCGTGTTGAGTCGTGGCGGTCCAGACCTCCCTTTCCCTGTCGACAGACTCAAAAGCTATTCCTGGGGAATTCCCAGGCGTCCCCAGGCCAGCCGAGCGACACAGCCCCGCCGGCGTGTCCTGGGTCGGCCCCTGGGGGTCTTCACCCAGTGGGACGTGCTGCTCGGTAGAGTTCCATGGGGGAGTCTACCGGGCGGAATCACTCCAACTGGCTCCTCTCGATCCGGAGGAGCAGCGGCTCGACTCTGAGGCTCTCCCGGGTCACCGAACTCCCCACTCGATCACGGAGAGTGGCGAGCCCGGCAACCCTACGGAGAAACTTAAGTTCGGCTCCTTGTACCCGCGATGTCATCCTTTTCGGTCATTAGCCAAAGGTCATTACCATAGGTGGGTTGTGAGTTTATAATCCCCGTTTTGGAGGAGGCGGGTGGGGGGGATCGCACAACCCCATGTCAACGCAGTACAGCACATCGCTACATATTGGTTGGTACTCTTGTGAGAAGTGAATAGTGGTTGTTTCGTCGTGAGATAGGCTCCCAACGTGATAAATGTAGAATCTCCAGCGATGGTTCATGGCCCGAAGTGTATTGCAATGCTAGTTTGAGCAAGGGGGATAATTGCCTTTTGATGGGAGCCGTGCTTGATTTTTGTTAACTTCCACCTAGAATTTGTGTTACAAAAAGGAAAGTGTGTTACAAAAAGGAAAGTTCCCACTTTTACATCGAGGGCTGTATTCACGATGTTGAAATCGTTTTTGAAGAATGCGATCAGTATATGTGTCCATAATAAAGGTTTTTGGGTTAGATCGTGTAAGTATAAATATGTCGTAACCCTCCACCACCCGACACAGCCAATTAGTAAGGGATTTGTCACGTAAACAAAACGCCAATTAGTTACAACTTCAGCCCACCGGTGTGTTGCAGAGTAAATCCACAACATTTACAATTTGAGTACGGCGTTTCACTGGTAATTACATCCAGTATACAGTACGTGTGCGTGTGCAGTAGAGATCACAGCGGTTTCCTCGTCTTGTCATGTAGCATTGTGCGATGTGTCAGCATGCGACAATGACAATCATCACAATTTTTCGCTGCCTTCTCAGCTCGTGCTCGCCACGACATGGACGACGGATCGAGTGCAGCAAGATGACGCCCGGTATGCACCTGTGAAAGGTAAGACGACACATATCAGCTTGCTTACCTTTGTTTTTCAGGTATTTTTTGCGTGTTAGTTTACATCCCTTTGTCAGTCCACTGCTGCATGAAGGCATTCCCCCTGTTGTCAGTAGTGGGGGTTGTATGACCACACATCACCACACTGGCCAGTTTGGATTTGTGAATGTGGGGGGCTCTCAGGACTGGTGCAGGTATAACTTTCCACTGACGTTAGCCGAGGCCAGGAATTTGAAAGAAATCAGGTTAAGCAGGTTCATAACCCAGTGCGCTAACCGCTGTGCCCGATGCTCCACCCCGCAAGGTCGTAATTCAAATATGCTCAAAATGTCCCCCCCCCCTATTATATTGATATAAAATAGATTTATGTTAATATGATTGTGGTTATGGTTGTACTTTATCAATCCCTAATCTCTGCCATTACATACAATGAAACAAGCAATGGTAAAAAAAACGAAAAAAAAAACAGAGAAATGTAATACAATACACTATTAGACATTATTGTTCAAAATAAATAAAAAGTCAATCCCATGTGTTAGTGAATTTTTTAATATTTTAGGCAGGACATGGCAGGAATTTCGTTTTCAAATTTAGATTTTTTTTTTTCTGGAGGGGGAGACCCCCAGACCCCCTGGAAGATTTGGTCCCCCCACAATGTTGACTCCATGGCTACGGCCTTCCCGCAAGGTATAATCACGTTCAACATCGACGCTTGTTCATAATAAAGGTTTTTGGGTTAGATCGCTGTCCAGTTCCTGTAATAATCAGATTAATAACGCAATGAACATCATAATAACCGAAACTCTGACACTGACACCAATCCCCTGGCGAAACAATCTGCCACCAACCATCCACAGAGACATCGCGCACACCGCAGGGGAGTTTACGTGTTTTCTTGCCACCGCTGGAGCCATCAACCGCATGAGAGCATCGCCGGGGCCGATGGGCACATATCCGTCATCAATGAAAATTTAAAGACAAGCCACAAGAGTGCGACCGTGGCCATGCAACCCAAACTGTGGACCATATGTTGAACCACTATAGTCTGTACTGCTTCAATGGAGGAATAGCAAAAACTACATGAACTATCTCTTGAATAAACTAAATGTTAATACATTAAGAAAAGAGTGGTTTAATTAGAGTTAACACGTGCCATCAAATGATTGTCCTATGAAGTGAAGAGATACCTTGCAAAAGGTATCTTTTGTTGGGGTTTGAATACTCATTTAAGCAGGAACTTTTGACTTTCGTTACGTTTTTCCAACGTGAATAACTTTTCCTATGTATACGTGATTGGCAAACAAAACATAGTTGTGGTTTTACTTCATATACAAGGCAGTGTTGTATTTTGCTCAGGGCATCACATTAAACCTGTCGGTACCACAAAGTGCTGTGACCTGTGCAAACATGTTCACACATTGGTTTTGTACAGTAGTTCATTGTGATTTTGGAACAAACCTGACCGTCCATGTCAACATTCAACGAATTACTTTTTCCACAGTAAACAAATACATTACTGTGGACACGCAGTAATGTATTTTAAATCGCGGTTGCTGAGCGAAGGCGCAAAGCCTCAAAACGCCAAGTGGACAGCAACAAACAGCACTCCTAAAATAAACAAAAAATGCAGCACTATTTGCGACGTATCTATGCTGAACTTCTTTTGCACGTAATCAACCGTGGCAATCGGAGGTGCGATGTATAGAGGAATGAAAAATCCCATAAATATAAGTCATTTGAGTCTAACTGTGGGTGTGGTCCAAACAGGAGGTCAAATTGGAGCGATGGAGATAATTCTATTTCCAAAGGGTCTCCACTGACAAATAATTGAGAGGGCACTTGATGGGACACCAGGAAACCCGTTCCGGTGACATAACCCATGGGGAATGCATTCCATCTCACAATTGCTCAATGGTAAAGCCGAAACCTTTCCGTTTCTAATTCACCTTGCAGTTTATTTTTGCAATGTTATTTTATCTACCTTCCATTAAGTCATGGTTAGTTTAATGAATAAATAAAACCTTACATTTTGAGTCCTTAGTCGATGCAATTGCCGCGTGAAGGCTTGCCCATGCCATGTCAGGAGTCAGTCATTGGGGGTTGTTTGACCATACTTCACCACACTGGTCATGGCGGATTGGTAAACGGGAGGGTGAGGAGCAGATACAGGACTTGTTCAGATGTCGCTCACCACAGTTATCAGCAATGGACAGTAGTTTAATTTCAGCCACGGGGATCGTAGAATGGTCACCACGGCAACGTCACTTTCCAAAACATCATATACAGAGGCACAGAGATGTATTAACTTGTGATACTCTATTTACACAGTAACTAGAAACGCGTGTAACTTTAAGTGATTCTCTGTGCTCTGATATTCCATTCACACACCAGGTGGTCACGCATTTCAAGAATGGTCATCATATGGAGACATCCAAAGAAGGAACGATAATTTTCAAGCATACTTTACTAAGGTATATAACAATGAATGCATTGTATCACTCAGTGCTCTTAATACTGAGTTTTCAACGTTGCAGGTTAAAGTACAATAATATCAACACGAGATGTTTGGCCGACGTGGAAGAGGTCAATGCCCCCCCCCCCCACCCGTGAATACCCTTCTGCCATCGGAGCCGTGAACAAACAATAGCAATGGCTGTAATATTCCATGTTTACTTCGTAACAGTATAGAGTAATGCCCCGATTTACGTCTCCCCCTTTTAACGTCGTCACTTCGTTAACACCACATGATTTGCGTCACCTCGTCCCACGCTCACGTCGCTTGACAGCTATCACTCCCCGTCCGTCCTTTCTCATGTTCCGTCGCCTCTCAGCCTTCCCCTCCACCCACCTACCCTGTACGCGAACTATTTTTGCGTCTCACGTGAAGAAATGTACTGTCCTGTAGCGAACGAATACATTGTTTACGTACAGTGTTTTGGCGCTTTGATGTACGCAATTTCGATATACATCGTCGCACCTCTCATGAACGCATCCCCGACGTTAACCGCGGTTTTGCTGTAAACTGTGTTGCGTAATATTCAGAGCACTACTTAATATTGAATTCGTGAACGTGTGCAGGAGCAGGGGCCCTTTGCTCAAATTAGTACATTTGTTCTCAATTTGCTGTAACAGATTATCAGAAGAGAGAAGAGGCAGTTTGTTATACCTTCGATCAAAATTCCAGAAAATGATGCCGGACCTTTCCCAAAGCATTTCACCACCGTGAGTACATTCGCTTCGTCATGAATCCTGGGGAGTAATACAATACGTCAGGGCTTAGAACGGTTGAGGGGGGGGGCCCAGAAAATCTTCCATGAGGAATTAAGCCCTGGTTGAAGTCATATTTGCCATGAGCGACAAGTGCCTCTATCTAATAGTTAAGAACCTTATGGCGGGACCCCGGGGTCCCGAATAAACGGAAGTAAAAATCGTAATAATTTTATTTTTGGCGACCCCACGTAAACGCCGCGACCCACCTGGCGCGGATCATTCTGTTGTCGTCTCGTCCAAGCGCAGCAACGAGGACGAATGCGCAGAAGAAACAAAACTTTTAAACTACGATTAGCGCATCGTGTAGAGCTCGTCGAGAGGAATAGATCGCCGTGTCGTCCGCCTTCAACAGACAGAGAATGACGTCGCGACGCAGTTTATGTGAGAGCCGGGGGCTTATGGGACCCCGGGGTCCCGCGATGAGGTTCAATTGTAAAGCGTCGCTGGAATTTAAATGTCAGTTGTTTGAGTGCCGCTCAACTCACAATAAATACAAATGATCTCCACGGTGGAAATGTGGAATTTTCACCTCTGCCTCAGCCAATGGAGATACGCATGGCTAGCCATGGTTTACTTGCGAAGCATGAGACTGGCAGGCATTGTTGACACAATGTAGACAACATTGTACCCTTCCTACAGTTGCGAGCGACGGGTAAATCTAAGCCGGTTCGGTTCAACGTGACGGGCCCTGGGATGGAGCAGACACCAGATGGATTTTTTTCGTACAACCCGAACACAGGGTACCTCTACACCACCCGGCCCATCGACCGGGAAAAAACTCCACGTGTTCAAGTAAGACTTCAAATAAACACCAGAGCTCAACAATACCAACCTATCAGCACAGATGTGCTTTGGAACATCGAATCCATGCTTAAACAATCTCCAACGTGAGCCTTTTAACTGTTATCATTATTATCAAGTATGTCGGTGTCTTACACAAATATACATGCTCTCGTTTTCAACACTTTATTGTATTCATTTTCTGGTAGATATTCAATTTAAATTTAGCTCTGGTAAACAGCTACTCAATATATTATATGATCATGAAAACAAAATTTTCACACAATAATTTTGCCATATACTGTACCTTAATTTGATCTGAAATTCCTCATGAGTATATTTGTTTGCAGTTGGAGTATTTCATCTACAATGACCAAGGCACCTTGCTTGAAGGACCCAAACGTCTAACGATAGATATTCTGGACATGAATGACAATGTGCCAGAGTTTGCATCCCACATCTTCAATGCCACCATTCCAGAAAATGCAGCATATGGTGAGCCCATAAATCCATTTGCTATTCATTTTCATAGTTAACTACCAGCGCTCTCCAATATTCCCTTGGCATCACTTCTTTAATTTTAACATTACATTACAGAACTATGTCAATCCACTGCTGAATGGGGGTTCTCTCCTATGCTGTGGGAGTTATTTTACCAAACTTTACCACGCTAATCAGTCATACTAAGCAGCGCTTACTTGCGATTTCGATAAACTAATTACACAAGATGCAATCTTGGGATATTCCAAACGCACAGTGTGCTATTAAGTGCACTGGCCATAAGTTCAATTCCTAGCCGTGGTTAACATCGGTGGGGTAACCTCTCCTACACCCACAACTTCACCAAATTAGCACTGACGTGTGTGGTAAAGTTTAGCCAAACAATTCTCCAACACTGAATTGAGTGTGTGGAGCCCTCGTCCAGAAATGCATTGACATATTTATTATACAAAGTTAGTCGATGTTGATGTATCATACTTTGAGCAATAAATGCAGATTAAACATTGTAATAATATAGTTAATATCTGTAGTTTTCTTGGCCATATAGTGCTGGACTTTTAGTTGGAGATCTGACAATGCAGTGATGGCAGGGTGTGATTGAATCCACATTGCTAATGATAACCTCCTTGCTGGACTCGGCTTTCAATGACACATTTCAGATCGGTATTACGCGACAATAAGCCGCTATGAATACAAAATGCATTTGTCTCCCATACTGCATTTCGCCTCGTGCCATTATTGAAGGCCTGTCAGCCGAAACATTGAGTTCTATTTATGTGAGTAAAACTCTCAACAAAAAGAAACATAGTGCGACAAGTTTTCACTTAACAGAGTGGGTGCAGATGACACGCGCAAGTTCACGCATTTGGGCTTGTTTGGAAACAGGCGTTTCAGTGTTGCAGGTGTCTGCTGTGGACAGAGACGACCCGAGCACTCCGAATGGCAGGCTCGTGCACAGCATCGTCTCTCAGAGCCCAGGCGTGCCCTTCGCAAAGCTGTTCACCATCAACGGCACCACGGGAGTCATCTCCACAGCATTTGGTCTGTTTGACCGAGAGGTACGGCTTCAATTCAACTCGCCCAATCATCGTGTCCATTGTATATGTATTTCCCCTGAACGACTTGATGTCTGCTTACAAAGGCAAAGGCGCAGCCCTTCAATTGCTTGCTGAATCCGCTGCTAGTGGAAGGCTCTTCACTGGAGGGCGCTCTGAAGAATCCCTTCAGAGAGAGTATTTGGCCTACTCTTCCAAAACTGAAACCTTTTTACAAGGAATCATGTGTGCATTAACCACAATACTTGTGGTCAAAATGCAAACAAAAAACACACTGATAATATATGCATTGTCCTTGAAACTGATTGGTCCACACCAGAGAAGGTTTTCTTTTGATTCTCGTCTCAATTGGTGCTAGACCAGAAGACGCCAGAAGGCGTACAGCTCAAAGACAATGCACTATCAAAGTAATGAGGGCTCGGGGTAAGCGTCTACATCATTAGACCTCCTTTGCCAGTAACAAAATATAATAATAGGGTTTCTACCTGATGATGATTACTTGTGTTGCAATCGAAACGTCGTATTCTATTATTTAATTTATTTTCTTTCTACGTGACTTTACCAACAGAACCAAAGAGTAATTCCCGCAGTCACAAAAGCTTCAAATCAAGTTGTATCGTGTTGTATTTGTGTTTGTATTTGTTTTCTTCAGCTTGTAGATAGCTACACGCTGACAGTTCAAGCCACGGATCTGGGTGGGCGAGCGGGTGCCCTTTCAGCCAGTGCCACCGTGTCCGTGACCATCTCCGACGTTAATGACAACCCGCCGGTGTTCCATCACCTGCAGGTAGGAACCGCCATGGCACGAAGACAAAACACACAATGAGCCGAAATGAATTGCCCACAATTCACGACATTTTTTTCCCATCATTTGAAACACATTGTGAGAGCTGGGGCTGTTGTATTCTTGCATTAGGAAATATGTCAATGTCGAGGTCTGCTCACCACAAGAGGGCTTCAGAAAATAGTTGGTGTAGTTTTGCTGTTCCTCCTCTGTTGAAGGAGCACAGACTGAAGAGATTTACCATGAGGTCCATAGTAAGGGTTGCTTGGCCACAGTCGCACTGTGACCTGTTTGCAATATTACATTCATGAAGGAGATGGGCGCAGCAGCCTGTTGATGTTTTGGTGCGGATGAAGGATGCACCAGTGTCTTTGAGAAATGTCAAAGCCTGGAAGTGCGATGTTTGGGTGTGGAATGAGGTGGTTATTATGGACGTCTGCATTGTTTGCAAGCCTTCTTCTGGATCTGGGTGGGATTCTAGGGCAATAATGTCAGTGGGACAGATGAAAGGTTATTTGGCAGATATCAATTTGCACGTGTTAAGCCATTTCGTTGCGCTATAATTTGTGGCACGGTTGCTTCTGAAAAAGAAGCTAATAGCTCAATGGGCTTTACTTGGTAAAATAAAAAAAATAGTTTAGTTTTAGTTTGTTTAAGTGATTTGTTTAACTTTCCTATACATTGCACTCCAAGCGTGTTTTTGTATTGTTTGTTTTTGTAACTGTCTGACTGGCCCCTACTGGACATCTGTGAAAAAGAGCATTATAGCTCATCGGATTCCTCCAGGATGAATAAAGATTTTGATTCTGTGTATGCATCACATGGCATAATAGGCAGGGGCAGATTAAGTTTAATGAGGGCCCGTGGTCATTCATCAATTTTCCTGAGCTGTTGGTGGATATTACTTGCCATGGTCCATGGTCCATGTGGTGTTATCAGAATTTACCAGGCTGGCATTGTACTAACATTTCAATGTAATAACATTTCCGTTAATGTGCCCATACCGCCGATTAGCCTATGAACAAATCACTTCCCGCTTTCGTCAAACTCGCAAGCATTTGAGTCTGGATAGTGCTTGGATTGGCAACTCAACCATGAGGCATAACAGATGTTTAATTGACTACGTACGGTGCTTTTGCACCGTACGTAGTCAACCATGCTAATTGGAGGTGCGGGGGAAGGACAACAAACTAAAGACAAAAAGCAGTTGTAACGACAAAAAGGTTACGGGGCTATGTTGTGGGTAGCAGACAGCCATAAAGAAAAAACATGTATAGTTTTACTGTACTTCTATACGCCCATGACTATGCTCTCCACCTCCACCCACCCCACTGACCAGCATGGGGAAGTACGCTCAAATAACCCCCATGGCATGGGAAGGCCCTCATCCAGCAGTGGATTTAAAATGGGCTGTACATGCTACATGTGTAATATAGACTAAAGCCAAGTATCCTGATACTTGCGCGGTGACTTTATGTGTTCTTGTTCACTGTTGAGATGGAATCAATGGAAGTCAAGGCCTGCATGCTAACTCCATTACGTGTATTCTCTTAGGTGTATGGGGAAGTCAAAGAGAACACCACCGACCTTAACGTGACAACGTTGAGCGTAACGGACAGAGATGAGAAATTCACTCCCAACTGGAGGGCAGTGTACAAGATCCAGAATGGAAAAACACAGGCACTTGTCGCGATCAAAACTGACCCTCAAACAAACCAAGGCATCGTTAGTATCATTAAGGTAGTGCTTTTTATTTGTTTGCACAAATCAGTGCTAACATGTCACCATTTTCCTCTGCATGCAATGTTTGTAACTTTTATTGCTTCATAAAATATACACTTAGATGGTTGCCGAACTTCCAGTGTGGAGCTGGGGTATCCTGATGTGGTGGCGCACACTTTTAATCGAGTTGGCGAATCATAAATAGACGTTTCACCCAGGAAATGGCAGCAGGCTAAACGGACGTGTAAACTTGCCTGCGTGGAACTTTGAACGTTACTTCGCAGTTTGTGTGGTGGGTTTCTCCTGGCACTCCAGATTCCTCCAACACACAAAACACTTGCTTAAAAGGGTTTGTGAAAAAAATACATGCAGGGCAGGGCCTCACCTGAAATATTTTCTGGATACTCACTGAGTTTTTCTTGGATAAAAGATTTTCTGACGGTCGCAAGTCGAGCTGTCGTAAGTCGAACTCTTTACTCCCATAGGGTGCAATGTTATACATTGGTGTTCCGTGCCTGGAAACCCATTACATACCATGAAAATACTAAAATTGACCACGTTAAAATAACTTAAAATAACCCGCAACGAACATTTATTGCCACTTAACGTAACCTTTACCAACATTTATTAAGTAAAAACAAACACTTACACTTGAAAATCCTCAAGTACTTTTCTGCATGTGCATCACATTTCTTTTTCTCAGACGTAGGCGAAAATGTTTCGAAACGTGAAGGAAATTTACACAGCAGTGAAGAGCGTTGAGATAGAGACGCCGCTGCGTTCGCTCTCGGCTTATGTACATACGAATACGGAAAAAAAGATTTAAAAAAGTACCGCTAGATGGCGCCCACGTGACACGCGCACACTCGCCGCCAGATGGCGCCCACGTGACACGCGCACACTCGCCGCCAGATGGCGCCCACGTGACACGCGCACACTCGCCGACGCCAAGTGGCCAATCGGCTCGGCGTCCGGTAGCAGTCGTTAGTCGGTCGTAGGTACGAGTTTTGGTCGTTACTGTGGGTGGGGGGGGTGGGTCTTCAGAAAGGTCGTAAAAGGGGGTTTGTCGCAAGTCGAGGCGTCGTAAGTCGGGGGGTCACCTGTAATTAAACTCGGCCTATAATTCTTCGAGGAAAATAAAATAGGTCCCGCTTTCTGCGAAGACAACAGCATTTTACCTCTGGCGAGACTGGCTCAGAGCCACCAGTAGAGGTGAGCACTACCGATAATAACTACTTGCCTTCAGACGGTCCCCAATTTGAGGGTATATTGTTCCGGGATCGTTACATGTTCGTGATTTGTATCTCCCTTTGCGATGGTTTTATTTTGGGTTCTGGGATAATATTAACGAAAGCGAAAAATGAGCAAGGGAAATTACTTACCTAACAATTAAAGTAATATTCTTGGTTCTTTCGATAAAGTCACGTAGAAGGGAAACAATAATCATTATTTTATTGTTTCCCTTCCACGTGACTTTACCGAAAAAACCAAGAATATGAATCCCTGGAGTCACGAAAGCTTTAAATAAAGAAAAACTAAAGTAATCCCAGAGTTTCCAACATTGCGCGTGGGCATTCTTCAGCCTGTGCACTACAGAGACACCAAGGCGATCGTGCTCAACGTCTCGGTGGAGAATGAGGTCGCCGTCTTGGGTGGCGACACGGGGAGTTTGGCAGGGCCCACGGACCTCTGGGGGGCACAGGATCCTTTTTGGGCCGTGCCAGGGCGGCGGCCGTGCCAGCTCGTGATTCGCGTGCTGGAAGAGGAGCTGGCGCCCGTCTTCGTGCCGCCCCACGTGGAGGTGACGGTGGAGGATGGAGCCCGACCTGGAGCCCGCGTCACCATTCTCACCGCCACCGACCCAAACTCCTCGGCCAGCCGCATCGAGTCAGTGGCGGTGTAGTGCGAGCTTTCGTTCACTCGGCGTCAAAATGCCTCCACGCTCAAATTAACATCTACGACGCTCTTTGTTCACAGATGTCCAGTAGCGGCAGGTCATAAAGTTACAACAAACAAACAATACAAATAAGTTATAGGAGTGCAAAGTATAGGAAATGTTAGCAAATCACTATAAATAAATATATAAACCAAGACTAAATTATTTTGATTTAACCAGGTAAAGCCCACTGAGATATTAGTTATGTTTCAGAAGAGACCTGGCCACAAATGATAGCTCAATGAAGTGGCTTATCACGTGGAAATTTCTAGCAGCCAAATAGTCTGCACTGTGTGTGCCAGTGCTCAACTCCAATGGCTACTTTAAGGGACAGGGACAAATATCTATGGCCTGAAACAATATAAATGCAGTATTATTTTTAATATTAATCCAGTAGTTAGGAATTTCAAATTCTTATGATGGGAAGGGCTTTAATTTCCCGAGGGCAAAAATCAGAATTTTCCACTAAATGTTATTTGTTTTTCATATTCTTTGGGTCTTTCGGTAAAGTCACATAGAAAGGTTCAAAGAAAATTAAAAAATAACAAATATTTTATTTGACATACCCCTCAAGGTATAATGGGCAAGTCAACCCTTGCAAGGATTTGATCTTTCACTTTTGAGTGGGAGTGTACTTTGGCAGTATGGAATGTGTACCACCCCATGCTCATTTTATTTGGGAAGCACTGAGATTTGTCATTTTTGGAGGTAGCTGGGAGCCTCTGAAACCTCTCTCTATGGTTATGTTCGAACACTGATCCCCCATTTCTGAAATAGTGGTCTGCAAAATGTTGCTGTATTGCACTGAATGGGCTCCACAGTATTCATGGACGACTTTGTCAATAACACTAGGCAACCCAGCAGTGTTTGTTTAACTGGCTACACTGCTGATGAGATCCAGAATTATAAAATTGGTCCAGATATTGCCTCTTGGTTCTGGTAAAACTTGATTGAGAAGGCCTATAGACTCATCTTGTTTAATGGTAGAACAAATGTTACGTAAGCTTAATATATGTATCAGTTATAACCCAACATCCAGAGTACATTAAACACATTCTCAACAATAATACATTGTTTTTGTCATATATATTCTTTTGTAAGAGCCACCACATTGGAAGTTACCAATATAATTCCTCATAATGCGGTCTTGCACCGCCAACCATGTGGCCAACCCTCTAACACTCTAGGTTTTATTGATATTTCCAACAAAGCCTCGAATCTTCTTTGGTTCTTTCGGTAAAGTCACGTAGAATGAGAATAAAATAATAAATTGATAAAATAAAATAACACAATAATATTCTCACGACGTTTCGGCCACAACACAAGCGGCCTTCATCAGGTGAAGGGGGCGAGACTGTCTGGTAGGACAGCGCTGGAGTGAGAGAGCCACGTTCAGATCACGGCTTTTAAGCTGTGTGAGAGGAACAAAGAGCCACGGATAGCTACGGGTCCCGTTCAGACGGACGAGTTCGTCCATGGTCGGAACAGAGGAGGGGGAGAGAGACAGCTGCGAGGCCCTTAGAGTCACACATCCTTAAGATCATTCAACAGACTTCGGGATAAGAAGGCTCAACTAATCGAGTCTCTCACCTTTCTGAAGAGATGCCGCGACTCTAAGGGCCTCGCAGCTGTCTCTCTCCCCCTCCTCTGTTCCGACCATGGACAAACTCGTCCGTCTGAACGGGGCCCGTAGCTATCCGTGGCTCTTTGTTCCTCTCACACAGCTTAAAAGCCGCGATCTGAACGTGGCTCTCTCACTCCAGCGCTGTCCTACCAGACAGTCTCGCCCCCTTCACCTGATGAAGGCCGCTTGTGTTGTGGCCGAAACGTCGTGAGAATATTATTGTGTTATTTTATTTTATCAATTTATTATTTTATTCTCATTCTACGTGACTTTACCGAAAGAACCAAAGAAGATGAATCATTGCAGTCACGAAAGCTTTAAATCGAAAGCCTCGAATGTTCCTCTGTGTTTGCTGTAAGGATCTGGCTGTGTTCTCTTGTGAGTGTGCATTGGCTGGTGCTCTGGGTCTCTAACCACGAGACTTTGACCGTCGACAGGTACAGTATCCTCGACGATGAGGCAAATTGGCTACACGTGGACAGGAGCAGCGGGGAGGTCACGACCAGAGCAACACTCGACAGAAACTCCACGTTTGTGCAAAACAGCACGTACACGGTTCTTGTGACTGCCATCAAGCACGGTGAGCAATGCACGGCATGGCCGAGTCAGCTACTGTGTTCGTATTTAATAATAATAATAATACTTTAATTTAATTTTCATGCTCACAGCATCCCATAACGTTGTACATATATGAGAACCAAATCTCATATACAGCCACTACCAAGCAAATGAAAACCCTACTACCAAGCAAAATCTAAAATGAATATATATTTATCTTGTCTGCGTATTCCTCGAAGATAAAAGTTCCATTATTGTGTGATAAATAACACCGCCTTCCGATGTGTGTCTCTCCACGTAAAAGTAAAAAAGCGAGAGTATGTATTCCATAATCCATCAGCCGCACTGCCATCTGGGAGTGGGTCTTTACAAGCAAACTCAGAACTGTTTTCGACAATAAGTTTCTCATCAGCAGACAGCCTTGCTTTGAACCAACTCTGGTTAACTTCCTGATGTTTATGGGCGAGGAACATTTGTGTAAGACCATTTGTTTAACAAATAGATCCTTATTCTTGGTTATTTCGGTAAAGTCACATAGAAGGGAAACAATAAAATAATAAAAATATAAAACGATAAAATTCTCACGACGTTTCGACTGTAACACAAATAGTCATCATCAGGTGTGAAAACCAATGGCAAGAAACATTTGAAAGAAGTGGCGGTTTGTATTTATTTATTTTTAAACGTTAGCACCACGGATAGCGATTTGACAGTTTGTTTAGATGGACGAGTCCATCTATGTTCGGAAAAGAGGAGGGGGGAGACGAAATATTAATGTATGTTGTCTGAAAGCCACCGTAAGCGTGAACAATTAATTAAGACCCGAAATGGTTTATCAAATTCTTCCAATGATTGCTAAGCCAGAATCCATCTTCTCGGTTGAAATTGTCTCAGTGTTTGTATATGTGGATAGCCTCATGAACGAATCTCTCATGGTAGCCCGATGGCTTGCAAAGAACCTCTGTCTTGGAGAAGTCAATGTTATGTGAGCCTACTGAATTATACCAGTGATCTGCCACGGCCGAGGTGTTGGTCCTTCCGTGTTTTAGGTCTGCTTTGTGTTCACGGATGTGGTCCGAGACATGTCGTTTGGTTTCTCCAATGTAACTACTACCACAGAGGCAACTTAGTTTGTAGACGCCAGGGTACTGTATGTCCGGAATCACATCTTTTACAGACGGAACCAGACCACGGATTCTATGTAATGTGTTGAATCGGACCTGGATCTTGTGTTTATTCAAGATTTTGGAGATCTTTTTTGTGATCCCCGCAATGTAGGGTAAAGTGATGGTTTTGAATGGCTCCTCAAGAGGGTCCTTCTTCATTGTTGGAGTGATAGCTTTGCGGATTGTGTAGTCGGAGTAACCATTAGCCTTAAGAGCTTGGTGTACGTGCTTGAGTTCACTGGCTATGTGTTCCTGGTCGGATATGCATCGGGCTCTATGGTGCAGAGTCTTGATGAGGGAATTCTTCTGGGATGGATGGTGGTGGGAATCCGGTTTCAGGTAAGCATCCGTATGGGTAGCTTTCCTGTAGACAGAGTGGCTCCTTGAACCATCAGGTCTCTTTTTTATTAGGACATCCTATATGCAACACTTTGACTAAAGCACTGCTGAATAAACCACTCACACTAAAATTGCACGTGTTATCACGTTTAAAATTATTCCAATTGTTTGTACAATAAAACGACAATGTTTGAGTGGGCGCACTGTTTACCGGCGACGGGAGAGCTGGGGGGGGGAGAGAGGTGGGGGGGGGGGGTGGGGCAGCTGGGGGGAGAGAGAGGTGGGGGGTGGGGCAGCTGGGGGGAGAGAGAGGTGGGGGGTGGGGCAGCTGGGGGGAGAGAGAGGTGGGGGTGGCAGCTGGGGGAGAGAGAGGTGGGGGGGGGGTTGGGAGGTGGGGCAGCTGGGGGGAGAGAGGTGGGGGGTGGGGCAGCTGGGGGAGAGAGAGGTGGGGGTTGGGGGGTGGGGCAGCTGGGGGAGAGAGAGGTGGGGGGTGGGGCAGCTGGGGGGAGAGAGAGGTGGGGGTTGGGGGGTGGGGCAGCTGGGGGAGAGAGAGGTGGGGGTTGGGGGGTGGGGCAGCTGGGGGGAGAGAGAGGTGGGGGTTGGGGGGTGGGGCAGCTGGGGGGAGAGAGAGGTGGGGGGTGGGGCAGCTGGGGGGAGAGAGAGGTGGGGGTTGGGGGGTGGGGCAGCTGGGGGAGAGAGAGGTGGGGGTTGGGGGGTGGGGCAGCTGGGGGAGAGAGAGGTGGGGGTTGGGGGGTGGGGCAGCTGGGGGAGAGAGAGGTGGGGGTTGGGGGGTGGGGCAGCTGGGGGGAGAGAGAGGTGGGGGGGGTTGGGGGGTGGGGCAGCTGGGGGGAGAGAGGTGGGGGGGGTTGGGGGTGGGGCAGCTGGGGGGAGAGAGGTGGGGGGGGGTTGGGGGTGGGGCAGCTGGGAGGGAGAGGTGGGGGTTGGGGGTGGGGCAGCTGGGGGGAGAGAGGTGGGGGTGGGGGGCAGCTGGGGGGAGGGAGAGGTGGGGGTTGGGGGCGAGGCGACGGCGTCACCGTAGTGCTGCTATTTGCACAGTGCGCAATCTACCAGTGCTAAAACTGTACTTACTTATCTACCAGTTAGGTATTATTTATTGGACATTTACTTTTGTTACTTATTTACTGTTTTAAGTTCACTCGTTTCCGGTTAGTTTGTTTTCTTTGTGCACGTTATGATTTTATTGTTAACAATTGATAGTGGAATGTATTACAAATGTAAACTTCGTATTAATATGACGGAATTAAGCTGCGGTAACGACGTTAAAGCTATGAATGCATGCGGGGTATATGGAGGTGCGGGCTATCTGAAATTTTTGTTTTACACAAAACGCTATTTTTTCGGGGTATATGCGTCTGCGGGTTATATGCGTATGCGGGCTATATGCGGGAAAATACGGTGCTCGCCGCAGATAACTGTAGTGACACTGCACTCTGAAATAGCTGGCACTGAACTGTGCGACACACCCTCCCGCATGACTTTTTACTTACGATTCCGTTCCAGTGACGTACACATACGTACATTTGCGTCATTGGAACCGACGAGGTACACGTACGCACGTCATCCGTACGTCATCAGTACGTCAACGGACTGGGAAAGTGTTAACACGAAACTCTTTGGTTCTATTGGGTAAAGTCATGTAGGTAAAAAAATAAAATAACAAAAATCACGACGTTTCGGCCACAACACAAGCGGCCTTCATCAGGTGAAGGGACGGGACTGTCTGGAGGACAGCGCACTCCAGGACAGCGCACTCCAGCGCTGTCCTCCAGACAGTCTCGTCCCTTCACCTGATGAAGGCCGCTTGTGTTGTGGCCGAAACGTCGTGATTTTTGTTATTTTATTTTTTTACCTACGTGACTTTACCCAATAGAACCAAAGAGTATGGACCCTAGCAGTCACGAAAGCTTTCAATCTAGAATTGTTAACGCGAAACCCAGGCAACCACGTGCAAGAATGGTGCTCCCATTGCTGCTAGGAGCGTGGGGGCGGGAGTGAGCGTTGCGTTGTCGCTGCCGGCGCAGGTGCGGCCACCAAGACCGCCACGTGCTCCCTCGCCGTGCGCCTGGACAGCCCCGCAGCGCGTCCCCTGCTGACCCTGCCCCCCAAGCCGGCAAAGCGGCGGGGCCTGAACGTCGGTGCCATGGCTGCAGTCATCTTCTCGATCGTCGCGCTCGTACTGGCGGGTGCGCGCAGCCAGACTTCTTGATGCCGTTGATAATATTAGTTTTCCAACGTCTTGGCTTAGAAAATAGCAACTTGAAAATATGTATCCAAGTTTGAAAGCCACACGGTGGCTTCAGGCGAATGCTTTGCTGCTGCTGCTGCTGCCTCGGTTGAAGTTCCGAAGTCCGCAGTGATTCATGGTGCACGTTCTGTGGTTCACTATGTGCTCAATTGTTCACAATGCGCTCAACGGTTTGGTCAGGATCTCCACATCGGCATTTCGGGCTTCCTTGAATTTCCCACTTGTGAAGCTGGTGACCTGATCCAACCGGATGTCAATTGGAATTACACGTAGCACCATTGGTCCCATTTTGTAGAAATGTTGACAGCACCCTCCTGAGGGTTTCCTGGATAAACAAGCGTAATGATTATAAAAATAACCCTTTTTTAATTTCAGCGCTTCTTTTGCTACTGTGTCGAAGATCCAGAAAGAGCCAGCCATCCGAATACCTGATTTCGAAGATGGAAGCAGAGGGCTCTCTGATCAAATACAACGAGGACGGTGGTGAGGAGAAACCGGTGAGCGTCACCTTGCCTCGACGATTTTCCAGCACCATACCACATACAGCCACCTGCATGCACAACATTTTAAATACAGCGGTCCCTAACGGTATTCATTTGTTCCACGAATAACATTTTTTTATTGAAATTATCGTTCATCGAATGTAGGAAATAAATGTTAATGGGTTCATTTGTTCCAAGACGGTCAGAAGTTGACAAATGTCACCCTAAAAACATACTTTATAACATTTAAACACGCAATTGTAATAAATAAACGTTATAAGAGCATGTTAAAGCATTCATAGTAATAGAAACATGGATAAATAATGAATAAATAGAGCATAAAAAGGTGCATAAATAGAGCATTATATTTGTTTTACTTTAGGAGCTGTTTTCATAAGCAATGCACATCAGACATTGAAAGCGAGCAGCCAGTTGTTCTAAAAATGCTCATAAAAGGGTGTCGCTGATTGGCTGGGGTCTGCTGCTGTCCACTTTAGGAGTGCTCTGATTGGGCGAAATTGGCGGCCGTGTGATATTGTAGACATATCGTTCGTTGAAAATGTATCGTTAATAGAAATAATAGGACCTTATGGGAGACGGATCGTTGATCTAAATATCGTTAATCGATGGCATAGTATTCTGAATTCTATAACAAGAGCAGAAGCCAAACATAACACCACTCGATGGCATGAATGATCACGTGTCTGCATTATTTCATGGCTTCTAAAGCGATTGTCTTTTGCTCAGAGGCAGATCTAGAAACTTGCCATGGGTGGGGCGGTCCCAACATTACGAAATTTAAGATAAACGCCACCCCTTCCATCCCCCGGATCTGCTACTGCTTTTGGTCGATTGTTTTGATTTTGCGGCGTTCTCTTTGTCTTGTCAAGTACTCCTTGAGGCTCGTGGACATGACCAAGATCAAAGGCGATGAAGGCTCAAGGGAAAACACCTCCCGGGACCAAGAGGACCCGCCTAGAGATCCCACGGAGAGCAGTTTGTTTCTGCAAAATATATCGCCACGCACTGACGGGGAGACTGAAAACGACTGCAGTATCAAGACAAACTCTGCAGCGCAAAGTTTCGGCACGCTCTCCGAAGAGGGTTCCATATTCCAAACCGCAGATTTAGATGTTGACCTTGAGAGCGTTGGGTTGGAGTCCCTTCCGAGGAGCTGCCAGGAGCTCGAGACCCTGCCCGGGGTTCCCGCGGCCATGCCCTCCTTGCTGCCCGGCGGGATGCTGCTGCGTTCCAAAAACTTCCAAAACATTCACGTGGCATCAGACGTGACGACGTCGGGTGACGGTGGCCTGGCGTCGCAGCGGTTCAGCAAGTCCATGCACAGCTTTTCGGACGCTCGGGCGAGCGAGTTTGCGTCGTCAGAATTACTCCTGGACCAGGATATGTTTGCACAAGAGCACTCAGATCTTGAGGTGGGCGCCGAGATAGCCAACCATGCACACTCAGCGCCTGGTTTCGTTGGAGATTGTTGACGTTAGGACATTTGATCCTTTCCAGCGCCACTGCGGCTAGGGTAAAGTTAAAGTGAGTTGAGCGTTGAGGAGGTGTTCATCTCCCTTTTGCAGCCCTGAGCAAGTGGTGGAAATTCCACATTCCTATGGCGCAGGCGAGTCCATCTGTAGGACAACCACTGTTGACTTCCCCCACATAATGGCACTTTTTAGATTGAGCACAGAGGGATGATGGGCTGAGTCAACCCCCAAACAGGATTTTAAAGTCGCTAGCTTTCCGTCGCGTGTCTGTGGAGAGACTTGAGCCCCCTGCCCTGGAACGTGGAATTTTCTATGACCCAAGGCTGCCAGCAGAGATAAGTGCCACATAATTTCTCATGCGAGCAGAAAGACTTTATTCGCGTTAATTAAATGAGGAATTACATTCATAACATGCCTTTCTGTTGAGATGCTGTAGATGATTAAAACACATGTAAAAGCCATGACATGATTTGCCCACGACACCGCGAGAGGAAGAGCCCCTCTGCGAGTGTTTTTGGCCGCGTGTCTACCCACACTTTACCCTACCATACACGACCTGCCACCTAACTAGCTCTCTTTTACCAATCTTTTTTTACTGCGGCGTGAACAGAGGCGAGGTGGGGGGGGAGTTATTTTTTTTTTAAAAAGCACCATTGTTTAATCTGCCGGCACTGGAGATGATGTCCGAGGTACATTCACGACATTGACTTTAATTTCACAACGAATGAAACATTGCAATAACAACAACAATGGCAACTGTGTGTGTGTGTGTGTGCAGAGATACCAGTCGGATGATCATGGGATGTCGGAATCGACAGATGTCAGCCTGGACTGTGATTGGCCTGAGGACAATGGGTCCGAGTCTGTGACTCTGGACACCCCACAGCCAGCAGCCAACCCCATGCTGCGTGCGTTCGAGCAGCTCAACTCTGGGCAACTGCAAGAGTGCTTCTCAATACTCCTCGGAACGGTGAGCGAAGTTCAGTCGAGTGCTACTCTCATCGTTATCGTGATTAGTATCATCATGGGCGTCGTCATCAGTCACATTTCCATTGCATATTTATTGCTTGTTTGAGTGCATTGCTGTGCGCTGTCGTGTTGCCTGCAAGTGGGGAGCGGCAGTGTAGCGGTTAGCGCTACGCTGCGCTACGAACCCGGTGACCCGAGTTCGATTTCTGCTCACGGCCAACACCGGTGACGATTATTTGAACCGGTCCTGGGCCTCTCCTAGGTAGACTCAGCCTCAAATGAGTACCTGGTGCGGTGTGTAAACATCACCACTCGGGAGACAAATGCGGACGGGCATGGTGATGGCCACTGCTGTTTAATTTATTATTGGGACAATGCTCATCTCCATTGTTGGGAATGAGGCAGTGGTAAACAAAACAAATCCACGTTTTCATAGCAAGAGACATTTCGTCCACAAGATTACCACCGTTGACACCACGGTAAGATGTTGCATTATAACATGATAAATGTTAATTACATTTAAAATTGATCAAACTAATAGGAAAAGGTGCAGCCCTACAATTGCATGTGGTCTTACATGGTAAAAAAACAAAAAGCATATTTTAGTTCATAGTTTGCTCACATCACTGCTGGTAGAGTCTCTATTAGAGAACTGCTCCAGAGGATATTTTTACCTACTCCTCCTCATTGGCCAGATGTCTTGGTAGAACCAATGGCAACACAGAATTTGACCGAGAAAGACGTGATGCCCTTTCACCAGCAGTGGCCTGAGCAAGCAATACTAGTAGGCCTGCACCTTCACCTTTTACTTACCCATTACTATCGGTCGATCACCTTTCGGGCGAACGCAACCTATGCTGAATCCCGTCTCTCCCGTCCGGTAAGGAGAAAGAGCTCGCGGACATGGACCCGTCGGCCCAGGCCAATGACATGCTGCTGTCGTACCGCTACGAGGGGGACGGCTCCCGGGCTGACAACCTCTCCTGCTGCTCAAGCTCCCGCGGAGACCGCGGCTGTCGCTCGGCGCAGCCTCCTGCAAGCACAGCGAGGCGGTAGAGGAGGCTCTTCTGTACGGCCACGGTGTGGAAACGCCCACCGAGTTATCCGAGACTAAGATCCGTAAAATAGAGAAGGTTGTTCTGTACGGCCACGGTGTGGAAATGCCAACGAGTTATCTGAGGCTCCGATCCGTAAAAATATACGGTATGGCTTAATCAGAGTGTGCGCGATGCTGTTGGAAGCCGAAAACAGGTAAAGGCGCAGTCCTGCAATTGCTTGCTCCTGCCACTGCTGATGGAAGGGCTTCCACTAGAGTGGAACTCTGCTTCATAGCTCATCGGATTCCTGCAGTCGAAATAAAATTCTGATAATCATCACTTGCTCTCATCATCATGATCATGATTTGTGTGAGAATTGGTTATGCTTACCGATTACTGTTCTCACACTACTTGCAATCAACATAAACAAAATACAGTCTGTTCTATAATGCGTTAGTTTCGTTCCCGAAGTACACCGCGTTATGGGAAAATGGCGTTATAATAAATAATATATTATATAGGGTAAAGCACGGTCCACGATAACACGTGAGATGCGTACACAGGCTGAACACAGACCGAGGCACGTGGGTAGCATCTAGAAGCATCCAGCAGCATCCCGCCTTGTGCGATGCTACGCCGAGACAGCCGTATGACTGCTTATTCCTACTCGCCCGACGTAGTTCTGTTCACTCAATCGCGTTATATCCAATTCGCATATGCGTTATAACAAAAAATACGTGTTTTATCATACATTCATGGCGTGATATCCAATTGGTGTTATGAATATAACACGCATCACGGGAGAACAGGCTGTAACTCAACAGCAATTCCAATTGCTCACCCTCCCCACTCTCCTCACCCAATGGCTTCACACGAGTGAAAATCTCCTGCTACCCACTGGCCAAACTTGCATACTTCCCTTCTGGCAATTGCATGTCTGAGGACAATGGGCACTGAAAACCAAGTCCACAAACAAACAATACGTTACACAGAGATGTAAACTATGCATAAAGAGTTCAGTCTATTCCTTTTCATCTGTGCAAATGATGCTTTTGAAAGGACATTATTTGTGTTACGTGTCTGCAGTATTTTTTGTGAAAGCCATGAAGTTCATGCTCATTTTAAAAGTAACACCTTTATACCAGTTTAACACGTAAGCTTTCGTGACCAATATTACTCGTAATAAAGGTTTTTGTGTTAGATCACGTAAGTGTAATGTGTCGTAACCCTTTACCACCCGATACAGCCAGGAAGGTGTCACGTAAACCAGCGGTCCCCAACCTTTTTTGGCACGAGGTGGGGGAGTTCATCATTGGGTCTTTCCCCCTTTTCAAAGAAGCTCTCCGGCCACGTTTGTTTTTTACTCATTGTGGCTACCAGGGGTTAGCTTGTGGGCTTACCAACACCACGTGATGAGACAAGTGCGCAGTGCGGAAAAGAGGCGCGGATGGAAGTGGTAAATAATAAAATAATGGGAGCGGCCCACGTGCGGACTCACCGCTCTCGCCTCCTGCTGCCGTGCGGCCCGGTTCTTAACAGGCCATGGACCGGTGCCGGTCCACGGCCCGGGGACCCCTGACGTACACAACGCGCCAATTCGTTAATACTTCAGCCGAGGAAATTCACAACATTTACAATTTGAGTACGACGTTTCTCTGGTAATTACATCTAGCATCATCGGGCGATTAGCTAGAATAGTGAAGCAATCCACCTGCTCCCGGTCTTATATGGAGCAAGATCACGTCACTGATGGGATTTAGTAAAATATTATTTTCGAAAGCAACGTCTTACTTGGGTTGAAAAAACGTTTCGGCTCCTCGCTTGTAATCGATGCAGTTGTACAGTCCAGTGTTGTGAGTTCACTGCTTGATGGTCGTCTCCCCTAAATCTTTGCAGGTTATGAGGGATAGTTTGACCATACCTCACCATGCTGGTCAGTGCAGGTGGCGGTAATGCCGAAACAACAATGTATTTTGCTGCACTGCCCTCTATTGCGCACAATACCCATCGCACCTGACTCCTGTACATGGTGGTCACCCATCCAAGCACTATCTCGCCTCAGCACTGCATAGCTTCTAAGATTTGATGGTATGGGAGGTGGAGGGAGGGCATTCCGGGTAAGTGTTACATTATTTATAAAGATATATTAAAAGAGTAATTTAATAATGCATCAAGTACAAACATGATAAAGACTGCCCTCACTACATATGTCAACACAAGGGACGTTTGACATGGACACTGGAACAACACTATCTTCCCTTCGCATACACTCAAGTGAATGCTCTGAAATGTACTCTCCTGTAACTCGGCAAGAGGCCCAGGATAGCAATCGGAGCTGGGTATGAGACCAGGAGCTGTGAACTTGAAGAAAAGAGTTGTACACGTTTAGACAATACGGGCATTTAGCGTTTAACATGTATTTCATACTCTTTGGGTCTTTCTGTAAAGTCACGTAGATAGAAAAATTATATTAAAAAATCACGACGTTTCGATCGCAACACAAGCAATCGTCTTCAGGTGTAAAATACATCAGGAGAACTGCTGAAGCAGGAGAAATACAGCGAGAGCTACTGCAGCAAGAGGTTATATAGGTTTGAGATGGGTACAACCCAAGGGTAAGTGGGCTGGGCTAGAGATGGAATTTACAAGTAATATACCTCGGCCATTGTATTGCTAGGGATTAGCACGTCAATCTGTTAATGTGTAGTGGGTTAAATAACTAGAGGAGAGTTCCTTGAGGCAAGACGGAATTTATTTAACAATCAATCCTTAACACAGAGGGGTAACGTCCCCTCACACCCGATACACTAATGAGGTATTCCCTCCGGACTAATACACCTCTCACTGGCTAACATAACAACGTCTTGGGTGAAGCTTGAATCTTCACTGGTTAGCCCGAGCCGACCCTAGCCAGGGGTACGGCTCTGCCCGTTGGGCTCTTCTCTTCTGGAGGCTCTTCAATCTTCGGGTGAACGATGACTGCCGGGACCGTTCAGAGGTCCGGCGTTTATGCAGGGCCGTGGCTCGCTCCACCCCGGCCACACCTTCCTTCCTGAACCTTCCAGAAGGACCTGGGGGTGATGTCATCCCCCAGCCCCCTCCTGGGTTCTGGGGTCTGTACCTCTGGACATGCCGTTCCATAGGGGTAACCGCTGGGCGCTATGGGCCATAGTCTCTTAGCCCTGGGGCTCAGCCCCTCTTCTGCCCCCTATTGGCATGTGGCCGGTACTACCGGCTAACTGCATGGGAATGGCGCATGTTCGCACAAAAACACCTTTACAAATGTAACCCCACGACTACGGTACTGAAGAAGCCATTGCATTTCTAGAGATTACAGATTAGCACAGACATGAGCAAAGTACGGCCCCCGGGCCGTATACGGCCCATTGGGCTTTTTCATCCAGCCAGCCGAACTTGTCCAAATATTATTATTAAATTAAATTTTACCTTTCTCCTGTAATGCCCCCATTTCCCCATTAGATGGCGCACTTTGACCGGGAGTGTGGTGTGTAGGGCTCGAAAGAGCACATGATCTCGCAATGCATTATGGGCCATCAGCGCCATTTTCAGGGTTTGTTTACATTGCTGAGTTAGATACGGTCCTCCCTTCACTTTTTCGCTTTGCCCTGTGAGCCCTTCTGTAAAATGAGTGGATCAAGGAAACGAAAAGTGGACAATGAGTGCCGAGTGTTAACACGGAGTAGACAACAAAATACTTTTTCACTGAAGTCCAATCGAAGGCTGTATGCCTGATATGCCGAGAAACTTTTGCAGTTTTCAAGGAGTACAACATCAGCCGTCACTTTGCTACGAAGCATGCTAACTACGCTAGCAAGCAGTCAACGCAAGAACGGGTGGCTACGGCTCAGAGGTTGGCGGCTAATTTACAGACTCAGCAACATTTTTTTCACCGACAAACTGCGATTAAAGAGTCAACTACCAAGGCAAGTTTTTTGGTGGCATTCGAAATAGCAAAGGCTAGCAAGCCTTTCTCCGAAGGCGAGTTTGTAAAAGAATGCATGGTATAGACAGTAGACATCTTATTCATATTCTTAGCTCTTTCGGTAAAGTCACGTTGAAGGGAAACAATAAAATAATAAAATATATAAAAAACAATACAATTATCACGACGTTTCGACCATAATACAAACGGTCATCATCAGGTGTGAAAACCAACGGCAAGAAACATTTGAAAGAAGTGGCGGTTTGTATTTATCTATTTTAAAACGGTGTTTTCATTTATTTATTTATAATAAAAAAAACGTTAGCACCACGGGCAGCGATTTGGCAGTTTGTTTAGAAGGACGAGTCCATCTATGTTCTGAAAAGAGGAGGTGGGAGACGAAAAATTAATGTATGCTGTCTAAAAGCCACCGTAAGCGTGAACAATCAATTAAGACCTGAAATGGTTTATCAAATCCTTCCAATGATTGCTAAGCCAGAATCCATCTTCTCGGTTGAAATTGTCTCTGTGCTTATATATGTGGATAGCCTCATGAACAAATCTCTCATGGTAGCCAGATGGCTTACAAAGAACCTCTGTCTTGGAGAAGTCAATGTCATGTGAGCCTACTGAATTATAACAATGATCTGCCACGGCTGAGGTGTTGGTCCTACCGTGTTTAAGGCCTGCTTTGTGCTCACGAATGCGGTCCGAGACATGTCGTTTGGTTTCTCCAATGTAACTACTACCACAGAGGCAACTTAATTTGTAGACACCAGGGTACTGTATGTCCGGAATCGCATCTTTTACAGACATAACCAGATCATGGATGTTATGTAATGTGTTGAAACGGACCTGGATCTTGTGTTTATTCAAGATTTTGGAGATCTTTTTTGTGATCCCCGCAATGTAGGGTAAAGTGATGGTTTTGAAAGGCTCCTCAAGAGTGTCCTTCTTCATGGTTTGAGTGATAGCTTTGCGGATTGTATAGTCGGAGTAACCATTAGCCTTAAGAGCTTGGTGTACGTGCTTGAGTTCACTGCCTATGTGTTCCTGGTCGGATATGCATTGGGCTCTATGGTACAGAGTCTTGATGAGAGAATTCTTCTGTGATGGATGGTGGTGGGAATCCGGTTTCAGATAAGCATCCGTATGGGTAGCTTTCCTGTAGACAGAGTGGCTCATTGAACCATCAGGTCTCTTTTTTATTAGGACATCCAAAAAAGGTAGCTTGCCATCTTTTTCGACTTCCATGGTAAATCTGATGGCTGGGTGTATTGAATTTATGTGGTCGAAGAATTGGTCCAGAGCAGGCCGGCCATGTGGCCAGATGACAAAAATGTCATCCACGTACCTCTTCCATAAGGTTGGGCGCAGAGTGGCAGACATCTTGTGTCCGGAGATCAAAAGCAAATTTGAAAAAGTCAATTTATCACGCATGACTGTGCCGTGTGGAACTGATTAATGAAAATATAGCCAGCCAATTAAACAAAAATCTGATTCCTTTGAGTTATATTCACTAGCATTGGATGAAAGTATGGACGTAAAAGACACTGCTCAGCTCCTCATTTTTATCCGAGGCATTGACGACAGTTTTGTGATAACAGAGGGGTTTTTGACCATGGAGTCCC